ACAAGAAATAAATCTAATTACAAATAAAAATAAAAATCTAAACTACAAAATAAATTGCAGAAATTAAATGCAAGAAAAATAAATCTACTCTACAAATTAAAGTACAAAAAGAAATAAAAAAGACAAGAAAATAAATCTACACTACAAGCATGAATTTAAATCTAACTAATAAGCAATAATAAAGAAATTACTAAAAAGAAATAAAAGAGAAAAGAAATGCAAACATTCAAATTGTTCTTCATCTCCATCCTCATCATTCAACAAAGAGGAGAAAGAAAAAATTTAAAGAGGAAAAATTATTATTATTAATTGCAACTAAAGTTACAATTTTTGGAAGGCCTTCTCAATTAAGAGTAGCCCTCCTCTCCAAAAGGAGTTTACAAAATTTTCACACCTCTAACCCCTCACTCTCTACCCCTATTTATAGTAATCTTCAATGAATTTGAGCCATTGGATTTGTCTTGAGCCCCAAGCAACAATCTCCACATTTGAATTTGGTTTTTGTTCTTCTCTAGCCCATGTGATTATCAAAATCCGGCCCATAAAGAAAAATCCAAAGATGCAGCAACCATTTGATTTATGTAAGAAAGTTTGGCCCAATGACATTTCTTTTGATTTTTAACATTTGTAGCACAAAATCCATAAGCAAATCCGGCCTCTTATGCACACCAAGCCACAGGTCCATGAAGTTCGGCCCATTTCATTCTCCATTTGATTTTCAAATGTCAAAAGTCCAAGAAAACCCAAGTAACCGGCCTTTTGTGTGTTAGACAACTCTGCAGCTATTCATTCCAATTTCATTTTCAAAACAAAATTGAACCGGCCCATTCATTCATGTGAATTATCAAGTCCGGTCCATCTTGTTTTTCTTGTAAAAATCCAAGCAAATCCGGCCCATGTGATTTTCACTTGAGAAATCAAATTCAAGCCCACGGTCTTGCAACAGGTTTGGTTATGTGGACTTTGCATTCAAGTCCATCTCATTCCACTATTTGCATCCAAGCTCATTTGAGAATAAAGAGGATTTTGCTTCTTTTGGACATTTTGGCTTTTGGCTTCAATTGATCATTTTCTTCACTTGCTTGATGGGCTTCATGCTACAAAATAGAGAAGAGAGATTTTTGAGGGGTTTTTACATTTAATAATATTTATTTATATTTCCATTCATTTATGTATAAACTAATCTAAAAACAATTATTAATGGTATATTTATTCATGTAAAATAGATAATGAGGATATAAAATTGTAATAAAAATATGATTATCAGCAGGTCTGCAGGCTTTAACTTGATGGAATAAGTGCTGAAAGAAGACAAAATAGGAAAGGGGGGAGCCTATGATTTGGATGAAAAAACAAGAAAAAAGGTTCACAAGGAAAAAAAGGGACTGGTAAATAACAATTAACAAATACTGGAAGATAATAGCAAACTATAGGTTGCCAATGTTTTAAATGTCGGATGTCGGGTTCATGTTGGTCGGCCAAAATTCATGTCGGATAGCGAAAATCGGGGATATATCGGGGGATATGAAAAAAAATATCGGATTGCCATATTAGATAGGTTGATATAATATCATAAATGGAATATTCACATACTTGATAATTATATTATCTAAACATATGAAAAAGTACATAACTTATTGATGTTAGGATCACTAACTAATTGTAGACACCTGATTTCCGAGTCGGATTTTTCAAACTTGACCCAATAAGCTTAAAACCGTTTTTTTTTTGAAATTTGGCCGATATTTCTTGGCCGCAATGACGCCCGACATACCCGATATTTTTCAACATGTCCCCGACATGACCTCAGAAACGCAATACACATTGAAATAAAGGATATCGTGGCGACTAGGGTATAAAACCGCCATATCGGCCGCTATGTCCGACATGGCGGGCGATATTTAGAAAAACCCCGCCATATCGGCCGCTATGTCCGACATGGCGGCCGATATTTAAAACACTGTAGGTTGCAGAGTTAAATGATCCAGCATATTCATCTTCCACTTCTTGCTGCATTTAACCAAATAATCCCATATAACATATGGTGAGATGTATTTTTTCCATGTGAGATTTAAAGGATTATGTGATGCATTACATAGGTTAAGAGCTTAAAAAAGCAAAATCATATGATTGGTATTATACTGGAAGCAATTAATACTATTCACTAAAAGCTTCTTGCGTTCGAATTTTATTTAACACTCATTTCCTCTAGTCCATTGAACGTGGGATTCCTCGTGGGAAAAAGATCTGCATCGTAAGCAAGGAAAAAAACAACGTGATCACATAGCAATAGACAATATTAAGATGAAGAGAATCATTATAATGTTTGCTAACCCCCCCCCCGCCCCCCAAAATGAGACATGAAAACCTTTTGAACCCAAAGTCTCAAATCTCACCTCGGTCGACATTAGAAGAAGAAAGTGACGAGAGGAGAGCAGACGAGTGCAGACGGCCCGCAGCGTCAAGCGCGAGGGAGGCGAAGAGTAGAAATAGAGAGCTTTTTCTCTCTCACTTTCTTCTCTAATGTCGACCGAGGTAGATTTGGACTTTGGGGGTCTAAGGGTTTTCATGTCTCATTTTGGGGTTTTTTACAACATTCTGATGATCTCTTCGTCTTAATATTGTCTATTACTATATGATCACGTTATTTTTTCCTTGCTTACGATGCAGATTTCTTTCCCACAAGGAATCACACGTTTAATGGACTGGAGAAAAGGAGTGTTAAATAAAGTTCGAATGCAGTAAGCTTGCAGTGAGTAATATTAATTGCTTCCACTATGATACCAATCATATGATTTTGCTTTTTAAGCACTAAACCTATGTAATGCATCACATAATCCTTTGAATCTCACGTGGAAAAACTACATCCCATCATATGTTATATGAGATTATTTGGTTAAATGCATAGAGAAGTGGAAGATGAATATGCTGGATCATTTAACTCTGCAACCTATGGTTTGCCATTATCTTCTAGTATTTGTTATTTACCACTCCCCTTTTTTCCTTGTGAAACTTTTTTCTTGTTTTTCATCCAAATCATAGGCTTCCCTTTCCTGTTATGTCTTCTTTCAGCACTTATTCTATCTAGTTGATTGAATTAATAACATTGAACACTTACTCTAGATTGCTGCTGGTGCATCACCGCATGCACGTGTTGTGAAGCCACGTATAAGATTGCTCACAGGGAGCAAGAGTTACCTTGGCTTTCGCCACAAGATATCGTCAATTGTTACCTTAAATATTTTGGTATCATTCCTGAGTTCGACAAAGTTGGGTGTTACTATGGGTTCATCATTAAGGCTTTTAGATATATCATGAAAAGGGGTGTGTTATATGAAAAGGACTGTCCCTTTGTTAAGAAAAGAGAAGAATGCGTCGACCGCAATGAGGTAATATTATTGGGTTATTTAGTTAACTCAAATATCCCATTTCACATTTCTACCAATTTGGAAAAGAATATTATAACTTAGATTTTCTATTTTTAGAAAACTTTAACTTTCAAGATATGGATGGAGATGAAGCAACTCTCCTCTCTTGTGTGAGCAAGCACCGGTAGGCGCTGCAATCGTGATTACAAAAGACTTTTTAAATTTAAAGAAGGTAAAATGCTGAACTTGGTAAAAATTATATTTACTATGCAGTGGAGGTTGATTAAGTTTTCCATTCTGCAAGCATTATGTGTGGTCTCCTTATATGAAAAAATTAGCTCATTTTAAGCTGCTTTCTAACTGACAAATGGCATCATTAGTTTTCTTGATTCCATGACAACAAACATTCAATGCTCAAAGTTCATCAGATATAAAACCTTTGATGAGAGTGACAGAAAGATAATTTTATTGACTAAAACAAACAATGGATAGAGATAATAAGTGAAGGCTTATCAACTTCCCTTGATCAATGAGTCTTTTTCATTGTTATTGCAGTTTTGAGGACTATCAGAAGAAATTATTCTTGTATTTGTTACCATCATATATCTTAGACAAATTGATTTCTCTTGTTACCTTATATCAACAAATTATAGTGTCTACTTTACACATTACTAATATTTCCCGCTCTGAACTATAGCAATGAAAGAGATGACACCTTCAAGGTATTAGCCGGTCTGGTCTAACTCAACGTAGCGCGCACTTATAATTTAAGGTATCCCAAATTGAAAACAATTTAAAAACTTGCGAACACACCCTCTTCTTATGTTCCAGATTTCAGCACACAACCAAATGCCTATGTCATTCACATAACTATCTAAATCTTAGATTAACATCAATATGTAAGATCACCAACACATATACCATTAAGCAGCATTCAACACTTAAAACTGTCAGTGTAAAGTGCGTATGTACTTTCCACAATAAATCACTTGCTAGTTGCTAGTATATTTAATATTTACAAGGCACAAATGTTCTCTGAATAACGTAACACGATAGATGGACAAAATAAGTAGGAATCTGTGAGAAGAAAACATGTAGACAACTATTATGAATGCAAGTGGAGAATCGCCATACGTCGTCTTCAGAACAACCGAAACATTATTGCACAGAGTCTTCAAATTACCAGAATTGGTCATACTTCCTTTTTAATTAAAAAATAATTAGTCTTGACAATAAGCGAATACACAAAACAACTTAAATAAAATTGAAAAATTAAAGAAATATTAGAAAATGGGAAGCTTATACATTAATAGAGAAGTTAAAATAGTTATCCTTGGTGAGTTTCCATGACCTCTCAGATCGATAGCTACAATAGGATATCTGTGTTTTTTATTACTGATAATGTAAATGAAAGCCTAGCAAGACAATGAGTATCTTTAGAGTTGGCAGACAACGTATTGCAAGTATTTATTAATTTGATTTGTTTCATTAATTCTCTATGATTTTTCTTGTTGATGCTGCAAATAAAAGCCAAGCAAGACAATGAGTATCGTTAGAGTTAGCAGACGATGTAATGCTAATATTTGTTAATTTAATTTGTTTCATTAATTCTTTTTTTATTTCAGGGTACAATTCACTTGGCATTAACGTTTGGATTGTAGTGAATAGCTGGGGGAAGAAATGAGGTGACGAAGGTTATTGTCGAATCTGTAGAGACTCAAGTTTGCCTTCAGGCAAAACATCAATTTTAAGTAGAGCTTCCTACCCTGTGCTTGGTAAGTTTCAGATGTATTGGTCATTTTACTTCAACAATTTTATTGAAAACTTTATGTTTATCTACATTTCTGCAATATGAGGCTTCCTTCATTCACCTTTACACGCACATTGAACAAGCTCGTATTTTGTGCTGGGAAAAATTGATATCCTATTGCGTTAGCTAACTTTAGTTTATTTTTCATGAATTTAGATGACTGAGGACATGGGAAGGAGCAGAGAGACAAGAGCAAAGATGGTTCAAGAACGTTAAATGATGTTTATGTAAATGAATTGAAGATCTCTTCCCTGTATGATATAGTCTATTATCTGCATGCTACTTGCTATATTTCTTGGACTTATTGCTAAATGCTTAACTGTTTCTTCGCTATATCTTTTAGGATGAATCCTTTGATAAGTTGAATCTTGTATAATATAGTTTATTGGCTGACATGGTAAGCTTTGATGGGGAATGCAGGTTGTGTTAGATCAAGGCACTCATATAGCTTTTAATGGTAGGTAACTTCTGATTGGGGACTTATTTAATGATGTTTGGTAGTTATTATTCTAGTCCTCAAGTTCTTCCCAGTTTTGTTTCCTTAGATGATATTAATCATACAATCTTAGAAGATTGAATCATGCATTTCTTTCATCCCTGAAACGAAGTGGCATTTAAGGTTGGCTATTTATCACTGATAGTGTAGCCTTCTTAAGATTTATATGTTATGAGAAAATTTAATATCATAAATGACTTCCTATAGTTTTCTGTTCTCTCCCATATTGAACTTGTGTAAGCTCAATTATCGTGCCACTAGTTTTCTAATTTTCAATTTGAGTTTAGTATTGGTTGCTTGTATGGTGTTTTAACTCAGATTTGTAAAAAACCAAGTATTATGAACTTATGAAAGAAGTGTTTTTTCTATAATATTCCTCATGAAAATCTCTCTTGTTTTTGCTAATAATAATATTTTCGGTACACTGAAATTTTTTCCAAATACTTGACATAAACATCACTACAAATACACTGGATATTTTTTCTCTCTGGTAGGCAATACATTATGGTGGCTAATCTAGAATTATTTTGGCAATTTAAAAAGTAGTTTGCTACATCTTTGAAGATGAATCCCCTTGATATCTTGGACATTGTATGTATACGTACTTTACCGTCTGACATGTTACACTTCAACGTGGGATGCGTTTAGATCGGCATATTCATTTTTAAGAAAACTAGTACTCCTATCATTATGCATTAGTTTTTTGCTTTTTCTAATGCATTCTAATTTTTCTAATGTATTTATAATCATTAGGTCTTTGAAATAAATAACGTTGCTTTTGTTTTGTAGGTTGCGCAAGTCTCAATCAATTGCTTTCTTCTGAGGCATCAAAAGTTTTGCACAGTCTCATCAATTTTTGCAGAGTAAAAGAAGATCTGTGATTAAATGGAGAGTTGGATTTACCAAAAAAATGATAATAAAAAAAGGGGAAAATGAAGAGTTAGGGAGTTTAGGAAGCCACCTCTCTCCTTTGCAAAAGAGTACCAAAGAGGTAAAGTTGAGCCCTATTATCTTCTTTTTCATTTTCTTGTGGTAGTTGCGACTGTTTCCATAATTGTATATTTGAAACAAATTGGCTAATATAAAAAAACCCTTCAACTTTGGACGATTATTAAATAACCTACGATAACTTTCAAAATATAAGAAATCCTCCCTTAAGTAATATATCTTGGTTTATATAAAATACTTCGACCATTCCATTTAATTCAAAATCATTTTGTTCACCTTTATACACGCATTGAGCAACAAGCGGGGGTACCATGTGCGCGGAGAAAAATTGATCTCCTATTGCCTTAGCTAATTTTCCCCCTTATATTTAATTCCAGATGACAAGTGAAGATATGCAGAGGGAGGGAGGGAGGGAGGGAGGGAGAGGTATACTTTGCTACATGTATAATTGTTTCTTTGCTACATGTTTGAATATGAATCCCCTTGATATCTTGGATATTGTATGGTATACTTTACTGTCTGACATGTTACACTTCGATGTCGGATGCATCGGATGCAGGTTATGTTAGTTTAGAGGATTCATTTTTAAGAAAATGAGGAATCCTATCGTTATGCATTAATTTTTACTTTTTCTAATGCATTCTTTGGTTGTGTCTAGGTTCAAATGGATACTAGAATTATTTTGCGGCTCGGCGTGCAAACGGAGAGGCACCTCATAGCAAGAGTTGCAGTTCTTTGCGCGCGCGCGTGTGTGTACACTGAAGCCTATAATTTGGTAATCCATTTACCTGCAGTTGAGAATGGCGCTTTGCAGTTGTACACATGTTCTTGATCCGATTGTAAGATAATATTATATCTTTAGTTAGTACAATTTTCCTCCAAAGATCATTAGTTATACAATAAAGTCGTAGGTGCCACCAGATTTGAATTTGAATATCATGGAATGCCATAATATACAACATTTACTTGTTAGAGCTGAAAATGAAAGAAGCTGAGAAGGAAATCATAAAGTAGGAAGAATTTGCAACCCTATCATGACGGGAGTTATAGCAAACTTATTCCTCATTTAGATTGTCTGTGGGGTGTTCCGTTGTATCCATGATAAATCCGTTCTGCAGTTTATTGGAATTTCTTGCTTCATAGCATCTCACTATCATATAGTAATGCATACCACACATGGTCTTGCAGAAGATGATAATGTTTGATATTATTCATTGGTCGATTGGATCCGTGAAACGATCATCAGCCAAAAAAAAAAAATCTTGAGTGGAAGCATTTGCCCACACCCTTGAATGTGGCTCCGCTGCGGGAGCAAGGGAAAGAAGAAAATATCATAGGAATTGTCTGACAGTAGCCCATCATGGCGACTTCAGCTCAAAACTGTGAAGTTTATAAACCTACAAAAAGATGTTAGTTCAAATTACTTAATACATAATATAGGCATCCTTACTATTAATACTTATTAGTTATTTTGACATAGAAAATGTATAATGGAGCATCACAAGCGTGACGATGGAGAAATACACTCGATTCTAATTGTTAGATTTTGTTTCATAACGTAAAAAATGATGACTTTTCGCTCGTCTGAAATTCTTTGGGCCCAGATTGGGCAAACGGAGGATATGGAAAAGTTTATATGAACTCCTATCTTTCAAATGGTAGGAGAACCATACCTTTGGTATCTCACCCAATATCAGAGGTATGCAAATAAATATTATTCTTGGTTGCTACTTGCTATGACAATGTAGATAATGAGTTTATTGGAGAAGCATATTCTCTTTTTACATTTTCGCATGTTCTATTTGTCAGGGCGTACAAATAGAAAACAAAAAGATCTCCTAAGTATTATATGGAGAAGAGAAGCCTCATGGATGGCTTTCATGTTACCTGCAAGTCTGATATATTTTTAATGTTTACTTGCAACTTGTTTACATTGAAGCCCATTGTACATATTTAACTATTGGCTCTCAAATGTTTATGATCATATTTGATCAGTTGGATGGATTTTTTAAAAGTATTAGTAAATCCTCTCAGTCCTATCTATTGGCAAGTGGCAACTGAGAGTCATGTTCGGAGTGTCAAGACTTATTCAAGTATTTTGTGTTAGAAAGAATAAAGTTCGTTAGAAAGAACAAAATTTGTAGCACTTAATTTGAAGCATGGCTTTACAAATATATTCTGGGGAATTTTCATTAAGATTTCTAAACCTGAGAGACTATCTCGTGAAATTAGGCGTATGTTAGAACTGGGGAGTATGCAAGAGACTATGAGCAGGTCAAGGGGTGGCATGGTGATTAATGTCGAATGTAGTTTTGTTGGTTATGAAGAGTCGGAAGATAAAAGATTCGTCAACATATCATGCAACTTGATGTTTCTCTCTCATGTACCCAAAAAACAAGCAATAGCATGTAATAAGTTTATATCCTCACACATATCGTTGTATGGAGAACGAAAATAGAGCTGAACGTTATCTAAATTGATTTCTTGTATATTATTTCTTGTATTTCTAACTTCTATTGGGCTTCGTATATGCGGTATTTCCTTATGATTTAATTTTTGGTATCATGTAAATTGGCAATAATTATATTTCATACTTGTCCAATGTTAACAGCGTGGTAGTTTAGTTATGGTGTAGCTACAGCCGCTACTTGGGACTTGTTTGGTATATGGGTAAAGGAGGATAGGTTTAGCCTGTTAAATATTATCTCATCATTATCTACGTTTGTTATTTTTTAAACTTTACCAATAATAAAGTTTAACCATAAATGAGGGTAAACTTTTAACCCGGAGTAGAAAAAAAGGGGTGGGTAGTTAAGGCTTGCTTTTTTTAAGCAAGGCTTGCTTTTTTTAAGCATGCGGAACGACAAAATTGAAAAGATCTTTTGGAGTTTGATGTTTATAATAATCTTGTTGTAAATCAATGTTGGAAATTGATAATCACATTTTATTATAATTTTATACCATCATTATCTATTTTATATGAATAAATATACCACTAATAATTATTTGTTATCTTTAAATGCAGGTTAATGAAGAATAAATCTCAAATTCCCATCTCTCAACAAAGGTCCCTTGATTTAATGAAGAAAATCCCAAGCCTAAAAGCCAAAAGAAGAATTACCAAATTATCCAAAAGCCCAAGCTAATAAAAGAAGAAGAAAAGCCAAAGTGAAAGCCCAAGCCCAAGAGAAGAAGAGAAGTCCGGACAGCAAAAGGGAAGCAGCTCACATCGATAGGCACATCGATGGGCGCATCGATGCGCTTATCGATGCCCTTATCGATAAGCCTATCGATACCCTTATCGATAGCTCCGGCAGGCAGTTACGAATCTAAGGCTGAAAATTAATGTTTTTGGATAGGATTTCAATCCAACGGCTCTCATTCACTGATGTTTACTATAAATAGGGGTAGAGAGTGAGGGGTTAGAGGTGTAAAAAATTTTGTATCTCCATTTGGAGAGGAGGGTTACTCTTAATTGAGAAGACCTTCCAAACTTGTAACTTTTTATTACAATTAATAAACAATTTTTTTCACCACTTTAAAATTTTCTTTTCTTCTCTTTGTTGGATGATGAAGATGAAGATGGAGATTAATTTGAATGTTTGTTTTTCTTATTTTCTCTTTTAATGCTTATTAGTTTAGATTTATTTCCATGCTTATAGTTAGATTTTATTGTTTAAATAGCCAAGAGGCTAGAACCCTCTTGCCTTAGATTTATTTCATGCTTATAGATTAGATTTATTTCATGTCTTTATTTTCTCGCATTTAATTTTTATAATTTATTTTGTACCTTAGTTTTTGCAATTTATTTTGTAGTTTAGATTTTATTTTCTTGCACTATTCACGTTGAGGCTAGAACCCTTTTGGGATTAGTTTTTGTTTTTGTTTATTTTTTATTTTCTTTGATTCGCCTTGAGGCTAGAACCCTCTAGGGAATTACTATTTTATTTTCTTACACTATTCACCTTGAGACTAGAACCCTCTCGGGTTTAGTTTTTTTTTTGTTCATTTTTATTTTCTTTGATTCGCCTTTAGGCTAGAACCCTCTTGGGAATCACTCTTTTCTAAGAAGTGGATTCAATTTTAGATTACCCATATCTTTAATTGAATTTTCCATCTTTAATTTCTTTAATTTTCTTTTTATTCTTAATTCTCTTTTTTGATTCTTGATTTTATTCATCTTTCCTTGTGAAAATCATTCATTCTTTGTCACATCCACTCTCACTTACATTTTGTGCCGATTTACACACTACCACTTTCACTCTCTCTATCTCTCCATAATTACATTCACTCATCACTCCTAATTGTCACGCACACAACATAAGAACCGACTTTAATTTTCTCCTACAAAACATATTCCTCGTGGGATCAATAATATTTTATACTATAACTTGATTAGTTGTGCACTTGTAACTTTTTGGTATATATTTATGCAGCATCAAGTTTTTGGCGCCGTTGTCGGGGAGGGTGCTTAAGTAGGATTTTATTTAATTTGGTTCTTTAACTTGTGTGTTTTTTTGTGAAGGAACCGCTTGGAGCTTGAATATCGCGGATTAGAGATCTAGAATTTGAAGATTTTTCTTTTGGGTAACTCTTCTTTCTAGAATTTTCAATTCCACCCTTTAGCTACTTCTTCACAATTAGAGACAATTAGGACTTATAAAAAAAGATTTTATTTTTGTCGACCATAATAAAATCCACCATCCACTTTAACATTTACTAACAAGATAATAAATTCAGACAAATTTCCCCCTTCTCATTTGTTTGATTGTTAACCCAATTAAAAAAAAGATTTTTATTTTTACCATCCTTTTTAGTTGCTTTTAATTAATAGGGTTGCATTGCATATAGTTAGTAGGAATTCACCAAAGTAATTTGAGCATCTTGATTTGGCACACACTTAAAAATATTTTTATAGTTAGTAGGAATTCACCAAAGTAATTTGAGCATCTTGATTTGGCACACACTTAAAAATATTTTTAAAGGCAAAACCCCATAATCAAGATAAGGTGAGGGATTTCATCACCCTTTCCTTAGTCCAAAATCACTAATTCCTCACTGCACCACCCAAGCCTAATAAAACTCATTAGACGTTGGCCTTAAGGATTCGAGCTCAATAAGGAACAAAGAATCATTAAGTGAACCGGTTTAAGTTTTCTTGGATTAGTTGGTGTCTAAGGTAAGGTTTAGAGGTTGCGTAAAGCGCTCCGCAAGGAACGATGTACTTAATTAATCTCTGATCACCCTCTAGTACTATCCTTACCTGGCTGACTACCCGGGTAAAACTTTAATCTTTTTACTTTAGAAGTTTTTGGTTAGAAGCTAGTCTAGTTGAGTTAGGCTAAACCCTAGAGTTAGAGTAATTAAAAAGTGATTGCTTTTGATTTGTTTTAGTTAGGATTTTCCTTTTTCTTCTCATAAAAAAACTAATTTTTTCTCCTTTAAAAAAAATTGTTTTGGGTGTATGAAAACATGGATTAGGGATAATACACATCGATTAATTCGCTTTGAACCAATAATAGAAATGAGGTATCCTAATCCACCCGTTCTTCAAGATATGTGCTATCCCATTAGGAATGCAATCCCCTCTTACATTAGGCTTCCCGAGGCAAATGGAACTAACTTTGAGCTTCGACCGCACTATATCAACATGCTTCCAAAATTTCTAGGGAATGAAACTGAAGATGCATATATTTTTATCTCAGAATTTGAGAAAGTATGTATGATGATTAAAAAGATGCATATATTTTTATCTCAGAATTTGAGAAAGTATGTATGATGATTAAAATAAGAGAATTAACTGAACATGCAGTCAAACTCAGATTTATTCCTTTTACCCTCAAAGACAAAGCAAAAAAAGGGTATACAGCTTACCCATAAATTCCATCACAACTTGGGAGGAATTTATCACCATTTTTCTTAAGAAAATTTTTTCGATCCATAAAATGGTGAAGCTAAAAAATAGCAGCATGAATTTTAAAATTATCCCGAGAGAACATTTTTGGAAGTATTTTGACCAATTTAAAGATCTTCTCATCCAATGTCCTCATCACGGTTTAGAAAAATAACGATTGTGCCAAATAATTTATAAATGATTAGATTATTCTACAAAAACTTCCTTAGAGTCAATATGCCACGGGGATTTCATGAGGAAAAACGCTGATGAAGCTTGAGAGTTTTTAGAGAGTCTTTCTGAGAAAACCATGCAATGGGAACATTGTGATGACAGGGTTTCGTCAGTTTCCCAACCTAAATCTAGTGGTCTTTCCTTAGAGTCGAACATTGCCTTCGAAGCAAAGATGGCGATAATTCTGTGAAGGTTAGAAGCCTTAGAAATTAAGGAACGAGCTCTAGCTCAAATTAATCAAGTTTCTGCCCCAGGTTATCATAACTATCAGTCTCCTGCCCACGTTTTAGAGGAATGCCCTCTCCTAAGAAACACCCATTCATTAGAACAGATGAACGCTGTATTCTAACATCCAATGAATGATCCATTTTCTCCAACCTACAATCCAGGTTGGAGAAATCATCCTAATTTCGCATGAAATCAAGGAAGTCTCCAAGGAAATCAAAATTTTAAT